CCCGTGATGGGTTGAGGGCCGCGTGTTGTGGGAAAAGCCACACTCGATCGCTGAGCCAGAACTGTGTCGGAGTGCCGGCGCGTACCTCGTCGTGTGAGGACGCGGCCAGAAAGTATGTGTGAGATCCAGAGACGAGGCCGATGACGCTGCTCTTGTCCAGTGTCAGGTTTCCGCGCGGTGACTTGATGGGGGCGGGGAAGCCGGGCTTCTGGTGCAGGTTCCTGCGAAATCAGTCGCGTCAAGTCGTGTCGTCATGGAGGGCTGGGCCGATAACTTGCATTATTTTGGCTTTTGTTGCTGTTGTTGAGATATACATGAGATGCTCATTTACATGGCCGCACGCCAGAGGTTCTTTTGGAAGTTTTAATGCATGCGCACTTCTGCACGTGGTGACTAGCCATGTGCAAGAGTAGCTTGGCGATTTCAGCTAAGGGATTTCCGTAGGTGGCGAGGGGAAATGTGCTTACGTGTGCGTTGGATCCGCAAAGGGAGAGAGATGGTGCGGGTGACGCAGGAGACGGCTGTACGGGACAATACTTTCGAACAATTTACGGCCCTTTAGAGCTTAGCTGATCCCGGAGCCCTGACGATATGTATCAATCAAGGATGGAAGGCAATAAAACGCGAACCATTTTTTTTCTGCAGACTTACACGGGATCGACCAGCGCGATGCCTATGTCGGGTACCGTCCCCACCCATCCTTTCCGGGGCGTCCGGCTGTGTGGTAATGGTCGTACGGGAACGCGATCGAGACAGATGTACCGAACCCTCGTGGCATTCTTCTCATTGCCGGTGTAGTAAAGGCGATCCTCCGAGACATAGAACTGCGATGTTAGGGAAAGAATTGAAGGTTGCGGAGCATCACCCCAGGAGATCCACGCAACGAAGGGGCAAACTCAACAGTTTTAAATCCAAACCGAAATTCCTGATGCTCAGCTCAGCGAACATACCTGGCTCCAGCTTTTCGATGGTTGGTTTCGCCGTACTGGGCGGTTCTCGATATTCCTCGCCACACAGAACTTCTTCTCAAACCACGTCGCAAAATACATCATCAAATTGATTTACAATTTTAATACTTCAAAATGGCTCTTTCTATGAAGGTCCAGGCCTCGAGCCTTATTGCGGGCCAGCGTCGCGGGCGCCCTGTCCCGGGCCGCCGCGCCATGGTCACCAAGGCCGCGCTGGAGCTGAAGGCCCCTCCTTATCCACTGGATGCCCTTGAGCCTCACATGAGCAAGCAGACTTTGGAGTTCCACTGGGGCAAGCACCATCGCGCTTATGTGGATAACATGAACAAGCAGATCGCCGGCACCCCGCTTGACGGCAAGAGTCTGGAGGAGATCGTCCTGGCTAGCTGGAATGGCGGCAACCCTACGCCGGTCTTTAACAACGCTGCTCAAGTCTGGAACCACACATTTTTCTGGGAAAGCATGAAGGCAAATGGTGGTGGTGCACCTACTGGCAAGCTGGCTGAGGCAATTGCGCGCGATTTCGGCAGCTTTGACAAGTTCAAGGAGGAGTTTAAGACTGCAGGCATGACCCAATTCGGCTCGGGCTGGGCCTGGCTTAATGCCGACAAGTCGGGCAAGCTCAGCATCAGCAAGTCGCCGAACGCCGTGACCCCTGTGGTTGAAGGCAAGACGCCTATCCTTACTGTGGACGTGTGGGAGCATGCCTACTACATCGACGTCCAGAACCGTCGGCCAGACTACCTAACCACCTTTATCGAGAAGTTGATCGACTGGGACGTCGTGGCCCAGCGTTACGCAGCTGCTCAGCAGTGAATGGATTATAATCTTTCATTGCGAGGAAAGTATTTACTGATGAATGAGAAAAGGAATGAATTGCTCTGTTGGTTAGTTCGGAGAGGTGGTTGGTCATATTTCGTTGGCATTTCCGATTGAGCTTGACCCAGTGGTTGGTTATGGCAGTTGTGGAATGGACCTGAATTGTTCATGACGCGTAATGCGAGGATCTGGATACCGCTATGCTCAAATTTTGCTCGCTCTGCGCTGTCCTGGCGTGCCAGCTGCCACGCATCATTCAGTCAACGGGAGGATGGTCCGTGTTTGTTTGTACCTAAACTCGCATGTCTGCATGGCGGCTTGTAACGGATTATTAAAAATGCCCACCTGAACAGATTATTATTTGAATTTCTTTGGTTTCCCCGACTGACAGCAGATATTAAGAACACCCAGCCTCACCCAGTACTTCTTCCAATGCACGTCCAGTGGCGTCTTTCCCACCAACTTGTGGAGGTAACCAGCATGCACGACGCCGCCGCGAAAGCTTTTCGCCATTTTGTCTTCCTCATCCTTTGAAAGGAGCGGGCCATCCATGGGTGTGTCTTGCACATATACATCGCCGGTTGCAAGCACGCGCGTGGGGTATGGGTACTGCTCCTCCCTGCAACATAAGCAAGGGAAAGAGGATTAGCACAAAAGCCAATGTACTAAAGCGTGACAGCATACATAAATACCATACCTGATGGTCACACGCCTGAAGCTCGCTACGTCCGGAGATGGCGTGGATCCGGGGGGATTTGGGGACCCCATAATTTTAACTGTCTCCATCACCGACTGCTTCAACACCTTTGGTGTCTCTACTTGATCCGGCGCACCATACAGCCTGCAACAGGAGTTGCCGGCATAGCGCGGAATGCGAACCATGGCGTTTTGAGTTATACCAGGGCCACTGCTGTTGATAGTTGCAATTCCAGGCCCCATTGCACCTGGTCTGGCCCGTGCTTGCCTCCGTCTGAAAGGTAACTTCCTTCCCGGCCATCCTGCTGCCGGCGCCGCTTGATTGACGGCGGAGCGATGTTGACCGTGATGGTGTAGTTTGGAGGATGTGGGGCTGAGATGGTTTGCTGAGTGGTAAGGGCGGACGTCCAGATGCCGACGGAGGCCTGCCGCATGAGAGGTTTGACGTTTAACCCTTCGTGCAAATAGCAGCAGGCCGCTAGATCTGCATGTGTGCCCTACCTAGGTCCACCACCAGCAGCCGCTGTGTCCGCTAGTAATCCGAACTCCGCTTCCGAAGGTGGCCTTCGCAATGATTTTAAAAATTAGTGTCGTTTTGGTTTATGCTGTGGGCGCGTCGTGGAATCCTCGTGCGTAGGCCATACCTACTAGTTGGGCGCAAGAGTCCTGACGGCTCAGCGGACGACAGCTGCCGGGCTGGCTGAAAGGGGTCAGCTGGAGATAGCCCATCGTGGGTGCTTGTCCTTTCAATTGAAACGACATTTGCACGTGGGTCACTCAAGGCTGGGTCACTGTCTAAAGATGGCTGGAGGCTGGGACTTCGTATCACAGCAGCACGATCTTCGGCTGACTCTGCTTCTATACCCAGGCCCAAAGGTTCACGATTATCGTAATCAAGTTCATCAAAATCCATCTCCACTTACGACTGTTAAGATAGTGGGTCAATGTCGCGGTCAACCACTAATCCTTGCATGCAGCATGGCAAGAGATTATAATCAAACAATATAGCTCCTAATTACTGCAGGCATCTATGTTGTCTAACCGCTTAATTTGTCTATTGCGGCAGGCGGGTGTAGGTGTCTCGCAACAAAGCCCCAAGTGAGTCTCTCTAGAAGCGGCTAGTGAATTAATACAAGGCATTTATAAAAACGGACACGGCTGATGGTTAAGGCGCCCACAGTTAGAACGGTTGTTCCGGTCCTGACGTACGGTTAGACACAAACTCGCTTTGTGCGTCAGACTGCCAGAGTTTCATGAAAATATTGTACCTTTGATCTTTGGGATAGTCAAAGAGCATTTAGGTTAATCCACGGGAACAGGTGCCGTATCGCATGACTTTACCGGAGTCAGAAACCTTTGTACTTTAATAATTGTCCATTCTATGAATAATATTTACATGTTTTGCTTAGGTAGAATTCTACGTATTTACAACCTGCTTTTATGACGTAAGCATTTACTTGGTAGTGGCCCCTCAGCACCTCGTCGTCTTATCAACACAGGTTTTAGCATACCATTTGCTCAGGTTCTCAGAGGCCTGTCCTGGGTTGGGCATGGCTTTCTGATTGGCTGGAGTTGGACTTTTTCTGGACATAGGCATACAGAGGAGGCGGGATGGGTAACCAGACATCTCTGCCATGCTGTCATGGTGCAGCTGTCAAGTATGAGGCAACGCTGGATGAGGAAGTGGAGGTGAGGTCTGACGAGGCAGGAAAATCAGTTTTCCGCTCCCAACACTTAATGGAACTTGGATATGGCAGCATATCCCTGTCTTTTTGTATGAAGTGTAAAAGGTTGCGCTCGAACTCCAGGTGGCAACTGTGGGCTGCGTGTCGGCACACCAGGAGAGCTGCATCGCTAATGGCAAGCCCAAGGCATCTAGCAAAATTGAGCCTTTTTCCACTTCGGACCCGATGGAGGTAGCTCCCGAGCTGGCTCCACAGCAAGGCTTGCCCTATCAGGTGTGATTGCTGTCGACCTTTAACGTGTCTTCAGTACAGCGATTTTGACTCCAGCGTTACTATCCTGCTATTTCGCCCCGGTCTCTTCACTTTCGAATGACGAATGCATAAACATGGCTGTTTTTGTAACGACGTTTGCAACCCCAACCGCAGTTCCATGTATGCGGTCCGCCTCCGCCTCCGTGTGATGACATGCGACTTCGCACCATCAACGCTTTGAAGTCGGCGGGGAGCGTCAGGATGGACGCAGAGGCAATTGATGCGCCCCCCGACCCAGAGATAGCTTCGATTCTCAAGTTGGTGCAGTCAATATTTGAAGCGCCAGCAGCATTGGTGGCACTCTTTGATGACCGACGCATCTTCATTCGGGACGCGGAGGGCGCCTTTAAACGTGGAGATTTCCCTTGGCGCTGGTCCTTTTGTGGCTGGACCATGGCCTCTAAGAATGACCAAATAATGGTGATCCCAGATGCCACCAAGGACGCGAGGTGGGTACTCGCGTAAGGTATTCTAAGGGGGCGCTGGGGGTATCTGCGTCACTTCAAGAACGCACAGCGGGTGCACAGCGGGGCACTCCCAGGGTCTGGTCCATGGACTTGCCTTCGGAGGCCCGGTTTGCAGCGCGGCACCAATGTTTTATGTTCCATGGACGTGCCAAAGAAAGTATTGCCTGTGAACACTTCTGAGTTCCGAGCTGTTACACGCAGTATTCAGTGTCTTTTAAATCGGCCCGGTTTGCGCTGCACGTGACATTGAAGTAACCCCCTGCTTGACGCGCAGGTTCTGCAACAACGCCATGGTCAAGAGCGGGCCAGGCGTGAGGTTTTACTGTGGAACGCCTTTGCTTGCGTCTAACGGTCATCGCATCGGAACCCTGTAGGTTTACAAAATCAGGTGGTTTCGGTTTGCATTGTCGTGGAATGTGCATGAGGGTTGGCGCTATATAAGGCGCTCCCATTCCGGGCGTAAGATGGGCTCGCATGCATTGCTACTCCAGTGACAGCTCGGCCGTCCTTAGACTTTTAAGTTATGGAATGCAGGTGCTTTGCGGACACAAAACCACGTGAGTTTGACGCGTCGCGGTGCGTCGTGCTGAACAATCTCGCGGAGCTTGTTGTACGGCACCTGGAGAAAGACATCGCGCTTCAGGTAGAGCATGCTGCCATCGCTGTTGTGGACGTCCTGATGGATTCTTTCCCGCCGAGGACACTTTAATTGGTTCTTATTTGCGAGTTTTTGCCTTGGGAGGGGCATCGGTAGGGCCTTGCTAGGAGGCATACTGTTCATGATTATGTTCTTCCAATACCGTGTTGTCTTGGCGTCCGGCCCTGCATGTGCCTCGTAACAGCTGCGCGCGCATGACAACAACAGCCTGGCAGCCGCGTACGGCAACCTACGCCGTACCCTAGATTGCTTCGACCATTGTGTGGCGCTTCTGGACACGGGTACGGCAGGGTGGCGCATTCTCTTCGTGAACAACCCTTGCTGCAAGGCGCTTGGTAAGCTTTGAGGGATGTGGTCGCACTCCTGGGAGTACATGTGGTCATCGCGCTGAGAGGGCATGCTACTAAGCACTTGAAGATTCAAGTCCGTTCGGCGACTGACTTAGGCAGAGACTTCAACCTCAGTGTGCGAGCAAACTTGTTCGGCGGGCGCGCCCGGAGCATAGGAAGCAAGTATGCTTTGCAGATTTGAAAGTTCAAATGCAGAATAAAAGACGAGCCGATGAAGTGGGACAGGATACTACGCGCTCGCCCAAATCAGAACGACATCTGTGTTTGAGTGAAGGCTTGCCACAGTTAAGTCTAGCCGGTTTGTAGACCCGCACATTGTGCTATGATAAGTAAAACGCCTGGGCATAATAATGAACCAATAATTGCAATAGTTTCAGAGTTTAGTAGTGCCAGATAGGCACGTGTCTCCTTTAGGGGATGAACAAAGGAGATGACACCCGCTTCGGTTCCCTTTGGGGATGCTTACCCTTCGGCACGAAGGGGTTCTTCTTCTTTCCCTAAAGGGGAACTAAAGTTCCCTTTAGGGGAAGAAGTCCCCTAAAGGGGAAGAAGAAGTTCCCCTAAAGAAGAAGAAGAAGAAGGGGAAGAAGAAGGGGTTCCCCTTTGGTTCCCCAACGAGAAACAGTAACTAGTTAAATTACAATGTACTTTAGATCATCCGGCCAAATTTGGCCGGATGATTAAACTAGTAGCTCACTTACGTAGTCGTCGTTAAGTTTGGCGAAGCGAACAAAGCAGCTGCTCCACGGTACCCACGGGTGCTGCTAATATTAAAGTTAATTTTTTTAATATTAGATTTCTAGTCTGTAGCAACATTTTAGGGAACCCTTCGGTGATATCCTAGGGGGCCGCGTCCCCCCTTTGGTCTACCCGGTCCCTTCACTACGGCAATTAGCAATGAAAACCATGGCAGATGTTAAGGCTGAGTAACGTGCGCTGCCATGTAGCTTGGGAAACATGAGTGTTGGACCCCGGCGACTAGCGTGGTGTGTTGTTTGCTTGCAGGCGTCGATCGCGAGTCGCTGCAGGGTAGCTACCTGTCGCGCCTCCTTGTGGCAAAGGACGGGTCCATGCTGCCCACCGACGAGCACCAGCTGTCTGCGGACAAGGGGCGTGAGTTCCAGGTCACGGCTAGGCTGTCCAACGCAGTGGTCGAGGAGTTAGAAGGAAAAATCGGTGAAGGTCACACAGAGCAGTTGATCGCGGATGGGCATCGCTTTATACTAACCTTCAGGTGCGGCAGGCTCATCGTTGCGCGTCTAGCTAGGTAGAAGTTCTCCCACGAGTTTCATACGATGCATGTATGTGCTCAGAATGCGAGTTGCCAGTTCACAGTCGTTATGGATGGTGGACTCCGTCAGTCTCCAAGGCATATGTTGTGGATTATGACAAGGCTTACCGTTGTCGGGATCTAATTTGCTGGCATTACGTCGTGGCTCTGTTTGTGCTGCCGTAGGCCTGCGTCCCGCGAGGACCTGGATGAGGGCACGATATCCATTGGCGTGCCCTCGTTCATTCCGGTGGTGAATAAGGTGCAGGAGCGCATCGAGGACGGGTCATCGACGAGCAGTAGCGATATGGAGACGGACACGGCGCAGCGCCGCCCGGACAAGCTATATTTCATGCTTCTGCAGGTGCCAGCGGGCTGAGGGCGGGCTCACAACTGGGTATTAGCAATTGAAGCCTTGGCAATTGAAGCACGAGTTGGGAAGTTGGTGGAACACAGGGCGTTGGGCCCTCTCTCAGGAGGTGGCGTGAAGCCTTCCCCTTCGCTGCGAATAATTCGCGTCTCGCGGCCTTCCGTAGTTTCGCCTGGTTCATTTTCGCCCCTTTGGCACTTTCCATCCTTGCCGACAGGACGCTGCAAAGGTGGAAGCCGAAAGAGCGGCTGCTCAGGCCAAAGCTGCAGCGGAAGCGAAGGCGGCAGCTGACCTGAAGGCTGCCAATGCTTCCGTTGCGTTAACAACCGCGCAGTCATCAGTGTTTTCCAACTACAGCCAGGACAGAGAGCTATCGCAACCACCGGAAAGTATCAATGGCCTGAGTATGGGGCATCTGCTAGGCAAAGGCGCGTACGGCAGTGTCTACTATGCAACTTGGTACGGCTCACCCGTTGCAGTCAAGGTGAGGACTTGGGTTGCAGCTTGTCCCATTCGGCGTTGCAGTTTCCGCCATGGTCCTTGGCATGTCCTTCCGAGGGTGCACACTTAGCCCACTGTACTCCGGCCGACTGGCTGCCAACCCTGGTGCGGGCTTTACGGTGTAAAGGTGGGAGTTATTGACTCCTTAACCAGAATTATTGTCTACGCACTGTTCTGTTTCTTCATGTTATGCCCTATCTGCAGATTATTGACGAGGAGCTGCCCCTGGGTGCCGAGTCCATTGCACCACCTATCGAGGCTATCCTCAGCAAGGAGCTTCGCCACCCGCACATCGTTGCAACTTTGCGCTGCGCCCGTCGCATTATCAACCCCGCCAGCACATCCGGCGTACCTTCCGGCAGCGTGGCCGCCGCGCTTAACGTCATGCGCCGTCGCAGGGTCTCAGGCCTGGACGGCAGCACAGCATCCTTTAGCGACGATACTGCGCGCACATGCCGCGCGATGGAGAGCGCCGGCGGCAGTGGCGCCGGTGGCAGCGTGAGCGGTGGCGCGCCCTGCGTTGTGCCGAAGCGCCGGGCCGGCCCCAGCTCTGGAACCAGTTGTGGGAGCGTGCCCGACAGCGGTTGGCTTCAGGGCGGCCTCAGAGTACGCTCTTCTGCGAACAGCGCCTCGATCCTCAGTCGTGCTGGCGGTGGCAGCCGGTCCTTCACCGAGGCCGCCAGACCCAACGGAAACGAGGCAGGGACTGCTAATGGCGCTGTCCAGGCTGCAGACGGCAGCGTGGCAGGGGACGGCGGCGAGCGCCAGGTTGCAGCGTCGGGCCTTTCGCTGGGTCCGTCGCAGTCACATAGCCAGGCCGGATGGGCAATTGCTAACCTGGGGCCCAACGCAGAGGCGGATCACCACTGCACGCCACTGGCACGGAAAAGCGTCGGGCCTCCTGTTCCAGCAGGGGACCTACTTGCCGCTGATGGCCTGGCCAGTATGTCCGAGGGCACCACGGATAATAGCGAGGCGTATGATGATTTTGACGCGGGACGCGATAGCAGCATGAGTCCGTTCCTGTTGCCGCCTGGCAGCCAGCCAGCTGGTGGCGGCGGCGGTGCGACGGGCTTGCCGGCTCATAGCGGCCCCTCTGGCGTCAGCGAGAAGTGGCCACAGGACGAGGTCCTGATCCGCCATCAGACCTGGCTCATCATGGAGTACTGCGATCGCGGCTGCTTACAGGTATGGGACAGGCGATCTCTTGAGGGCAGCAGGGCTTGGCTGAAGCCAAGGATTAGGAGTACCGAGTGCGCGTATCTCAGGTTGCCTGCGGGGCAGTGGGCTTATTGGCAAGGAGGACAGCGATAACAACTTGTACCTGCGGGGAGCCACCATGCTGCAAGGGCCTGGTATAAAAGCTATAGGTTCATGCATGGGTTCCATTGTAACGGTGGCGATGGATTTGTGTGACAGCCATGCATTCTGGTAATTGCATGTCTAGGCTTTGTGAAGTTAACGCGCTACATGAATGCGCAGGACGCCATTGACCGCGGCTGGCTCCGCAACTCTCCCGCGCTGGAGGACAGCGGTCCTCGCATGGAGGCTGTACTGGCGACAGCGCTGGAGTTGGCGTCAGCACTCAGTTTCCTGCACTCGAAGGACATTGTGCACGGCGACATGTCGGCCTGGAACGTGATGCTGTGCACGTCTGGCTCGACTGCATCCATCGGCGGGCGCAACTTTGCGGCTAAGGTGAGGTTTGCTTTGTGGCAACGGTTCCCGTTGATGCCTCTCATGTATTTGTCCACACCGTGAAGATCCTTTTGCGCCCTTATGGGTGGTTGCATGTTGTACGTTACGGTCAAATTTTTAATCGTAACCTGACAGGCAACAGTTTTGCTGCTACTGACCTGTGGTGTGTTGATTCCGGCCGGCTACAGATCGCGGACTTTGGGTTGGCGCGTCACCTGGATATCCGGACAAAGATTCAGACGCGCACTTATGGAACGGTGAGTCCATGATTGTTTCTGGCAGTTTGGGCGAGACGGCCGCTGCTGCAGGGCTCAAGATACAGATACATATCCGGACACGTGCAAGTCCTTGAGCTGTTGCCGCGCTCCATGCGTGCTGCGCACGGTGGTGCGAATGCGCTCTCCCACACGCGATATTACAGCACGCAACGTTGTCCATGTTTCGAATGTAGCAGTTTTGCCCTGTTGGACATTACTGGTTGCGTCTGCAAATCCGTCCCCTTACATGTAGTTAACGCATATGCCCGCGGAGACGCTCCGTGACGGCGTCATCAGCAAGGCGACCGACGTGTACTCCATGGGTGTGCTGCTTTGGCAGCTATACACCAGCTCACGACCCTGGGCGGGCCTGCGCCATGGCCAGATCATTGTCATGGTCGTCACGCAGGTATGGGGTGACGGGCGGGGTATGCTGCACTCTGATGCAGGTGCACATGTTCGTCCTCTTTTTCACCATGTGCTGTTGGGATACCGCTTTCAACGAGCGGTTCTCATCCGCCCGCCTTGCTTACATGCAAGGCATAGCCGCTATGGAAATGGGAGGGGGTATTTCTTGAGTCATCGGTTGTTGCCAGAAATTTACCGTTACGTGCATTATAGGTGTCTGCAGCCCATCTCACCTTGGCTCCCTATCTCCTGCATTGGACTATCCGACCCCAGAATGCCCGCCTTCGCTTTCCGCCGGGCTGCCCACCCGCCTACGAGGACCTGGCTATGGCCTGCATGGACCCCGACCCGAGCTGCCGGCCCCCGATCGAAAATGTGTTGGCGGAGTTGGAGTCCATCCGGAAGGGCAACTTCTAGCGAACTTCGTTGATCGTGTAGGGGATGTGCTGTCGGAAGCACATAGTAGAGTCTGTCATCCCACACTGCAGCCCCCACGGCGCACGCCATCGACGGCGCGCTTTAAGAACAGGAAGTATTTGGGTTGTACGCAGCACACCGCCTGGGAAATGGCGAGTGCTTCGGTAGTGTTAGGTCAGTTGCCCGTACATAGTAGAATCAGTGCTGTGCAGGTAGCAAGGTGTGTATAAGGTGACGGACAACTTCTTATATTTTGTGTGTTGGGTGACTCCTTTGGTTTTGGAAACAGGCCAGTACTGATTAGGGTTAACCGCTGCGCGCTTGGTGTCATGTTACGGCAGGAGTTTGAAGGGATGTGTTGTGCTTGTCGTTGTCGAAGACCCCGAGGAGGTGGTCCAAAGGTTGGACGTCGCAGCGGTTGGACGTCGCACGTCCTTCCCGGTGAAGGCGTTGGAAGTGCATGCAGTGTGGCGGCGTGCCCACGGGTTGCGACCCTAAATGGTGTGCCTACTGGGCCGCCGTCCCCATAGAGAACTCAACTTTCATCATAGTACCCCTGCGCATTGGAAGCCATTGAACTTGGTGTTCCTCTGGCAAGGCAAACCGAATTGCAGGGCCCATCTTTTTGCCGTGCCTGCTCCCTTGTGGTCTGGGGCTGAGCACGTTTTTTTCACCTGTATGGAGCGCTATGGCATTGAATTCAATCGTTGCGTCAAAAGTTATGGCGTGTATGTTATTGGAATGATTGCTGCCCTAAAATGTCCTCGGCTTCCTTGGCCACTTTGGGTTCAAGCGCGCGAAATGCGGAGGCTTTTACCTAGTACTGACTTCGCGTTTGGCTAAAACGTCCTTGGCGTTCGATGTTTGGTTTCATTAAGAAACGGTGTTGATGGAGCTTGTACGGAGCATTTGCTCTCGGTCTGTCTGCTGTTGTTCTTCCTCTAAACCTTCGTAGTTGACGACTAGCGGTGGTCGATGATCACTGAGCTGCATCTAACCTGGTGCCGTGCCGCCTACATCGTGCTGCGTGCATAGCGGCAAGGCTGTAATGTGTATCGCTGACTGTGGCATCCTAAGCAGGATGCGAAATACGCCTTTGCATTTGGCAACCCTTCGTTGTGTCCTATGGGGTTTGCTTTCGTGTCTATTGTGTGCACGATACAATCAAACGTTTTCCCGCAGGGAACGTGGTTTCTAGTGAAGCGCTAAGATCTGTTCAGTCCAGTCTTGTACAGACTGGAGAAAGTCGCATTGGGTTACTTCATCAAAGATCTGTGCTGGCTTTTTGCTGGAGGGAAGCAGTTCTGTTTGGTTCTGTGTATCAGACAAACGCAGTGACGGCCCACGGGTGTATGTTGCATGGCTGCGACGCATGACGCTCATCCAAAGGGAGGATGAGGACTTGAATAATGAGGTCATTCATCATAGCGTCGGCGCTTCACGACAGGGAATGCTGGATCGAGGCAAGAATGTTGCCTTTTCGCTGCCAAAACGCGTAGACTGCAAGCACTAAAATCATCGGCGCTATAAATATACTCTGAAGTCGAATTGCCATGCAGTGACCTGACACCAGTGTGAATAGTCATAACGAACAAATCAGTAATACTTTACCTGGTACCTAAGCGATTACAGATTAATTTACTTAGGGTAATTTTGCCTAGCCGCCATGCGTGTGGTAGGGCTTTCTGGTGGCATCGCCACAGGGAAAAGCACTGTATCGCGGGAGTTGGTATCGAATGGTGTAACAGTCATAGATTGTGATGAGTTGGCACGAAAAACAACGCACAAGGCAAGCAGTTAGAACCCGGAAATTCCATGTTGCTGCAAGTGAGTTGGCTATGAGGTCCCTCCCTCTCCGGCGTCATTATAATCCAGGGCAGCTGGGGATGGCGCAGGGTCGTAGCAGCTTTTGGCACCGAGGTTCTGGGTCCTGACGGTGCGTTTCTGTTTGGCCTATTCTGTTACTTCCGGTAAATGCGGCAAGCGGGCAACCTTGTGCGCGTCTACCTACCGCACCATGCTCGTAGCTTTGGCCTTATAAATGAGTAAGATCACAGTGCGCTCGTACAGCACTACCTTGCATGCCGTTGCCTGCACGTCTCCAAGCCTCCAATGACAAGTTACCATTTACTGTAAAAAAATTTTACGCATTTGTGCGGTTCGGTTGAGGAGATTTGCAAGCCGTACTTGGTAAATGTACGGCACAAGTGAAGCCGCAGCTGCCCTCCGAATACCGTACCCAGGTGAATTAGACCGCGAGCGCCTTGGCTGCATGGTGTTCAACGACCCAGCTGCGAGGCGCCGCCTAAATGCTGCTACACACCTGCCCGTTGCCCTCGCCTTGGCGCGGCGCCTCCTCTTATGCTGGCTTACATGCAAGCTGTTGGTGGTGAGCTCCCCAGCTCTGCATGGTTCCGTTTCAGAGCCTCGAAGGCGGAGGGGATAGGGGTTGAGGTTACGGTTTTAAATTCTTATACCGGACGTATCTTCCCACTGCAGGTCGTGGACATGCCGCTGCTATTTGAGACGAAGATGTACAGGTTGACGCGGCCCAATGTCTTGGTGGCGTGCAACGACCAGCAGCAGGTACCGCGCTCAGTGCCGGGGCTGGACAGGGGATTGCAGAGGCGTGGCAACCGGCCGGTATCCGTCAATGTTGCCAACGGTGTTAAAGCAAAGGCTCGGCCGTTCCGCATGGCCTTTCGCGGTTGTGTGTGCACATGTGCAGATGGAACGGTTGCTGCTAAGAGACGGTGGCAGTACACAGCGTGCGCAAGCACGTATCGTGGCACAACTGCCAATGGATGAGAAGCGGCGCCTTGCTGATATAATCGTTGAGAATGACGGGACATTGGAGGACTTGAAGGAGGAGGTGAGGAAATGCAGAACCCGTTTCTTGCGCGCAAGGTTAACTATGTAACTGTGTATCTGGTGTGCGCTGTTGGGGGACTCGTGTTGCTGGCCAGTACGGCATGTTGCTGGCCGGTACAACATGTAACATCTTGCGTTGCCTTGCTGAACGGATGCAGAGCGCTAAGCTCTTAATGAGCTCTAAGATGCCCTGGGTGATGCACTGTTGCGACAGATCGGGATCGGGCTGCCAAGCAGCGATGCCCGGAGGTGTGTAGGTCAGAACCCGCTACTCTTCATGCTTCCTACTGTTTAGCAACTCTCATCCGCCTTTCGTCATCCTATCATTACCGCGACCGAACCTCCCTTTGCCCTGTCGGCAGGTCGGACACCTGGCGAAGCAGCTGCGTCGGGGAACCCTTTTCGTGGGACTGGTAACCTCGCCAATCGCTCTCATCGCAATTATCGGTGCAGCAGTTCTCGTGGCAAGATAGTTTAATGATGCGGGCCCGTGTCTCGTGTGCGGGGGGAATGCCGTACCGTAAAATGTCTTATTGCGCGATTGCTTGAGAGCTGCAAGCACAGCTACATGCCTTTAGAATAAGACAATTAAAAAGCAATTTTGACGAAACTCTTGTTTCAAGCGGTGTCTTGGGCGTAACTGTACCTTTGTGTTAATTCGGACTGGGGAGGTTGACCAAAACGTGTATACGGCGGTCTATATTGGTTGAGCATTGCAGCATCCTGACCTGCATATACCTGTAGTTATCCACGGTTATTGTAGTCATGTAATTGCATCTTTCAACTCCTACGGACTATCTGGTGTCACTGGTGTCTAGCGTTTGAGTTAGGGCAAAGAAGCCCGCCGTAATTCTTTTGGCACCTGATATAGCAAGCTTCTTCTTTTATAGATGCTGCGATGAGGCGTTGCAGCGTGTGTTGACGTTTAAGAAATGATAGAACCGAAATCAGGTTGATGCAGTGGTAATGCAGCTGGATGTCCTATCTGTATTCCAGCTGCAAGCTGCATCAAGTTCGCAGCCTGGACCGTTCTTTCTTCAGGAGGATGGCGCCTTAACCCTGAAGGTGCCTTTGTTTCCAAAAGTAGCACACATTACACCGGAATGGTTCTTAACTGCGAAGTATTTTGCAGGAGTTTCAGGAGCAGCATCAGCGTGGGTTCTCTTGGTCGTCGACTTGCAGCTTGCTCCCTTGCAGTCGTCGTGCTCGCTATGCCGTCGACCTTGACTCTGCCACCGCGGCCTTTGCTTTGATCAAGCGGACTGCTAAGCCTTCGGCTTGGGCCCTCATCGTAGATGCGGACAGTGGTTCGAGCTCCGTGCGCGTGGAGCCCCTTCGAGGTGCGAGTGCAGCCGGGTACCGCCCTCGGTAGCACTCCTCGCTGGCAACCCAGTCACATCACCTGCCTTGCGTACTGGTGACTCACTTGTTCCTAATTGCATAGCGGGTTCTGGGACGCTGCACGGGGAGCCTTGAGCGCCGCTGAACTTCCTCATGTCTCGGCCATCCCGCATCCTTCCAGGTCACCTCCCACAGCCGCGGTCCCTACACGCGCCTCATGCACTGCCTTACGATGAACTGCTCGGAATAGGGCTGCCTCCTAATTTTGAGCGGGGAGAGTCCCTGACGGATGGGTCGGTCCTGCCACCAAGTATGGCGTCATGCCAGGTGGTGGTGGAGCCTGCTTCTGGGGTTTCGTCCCCGCGTACGCAGCTTATTGCACATGCGTACTGGTGGAGCACCTGTCCCGGTAAGTACTTGGAGTCTTGGGTTGCGGTTTTCATTTGTATGTCTCGAAAGGGGTTCGCAGCCGGTGGGAGGATATAACGGGCTTTCAGGCGGGATAACTGCATGCAAGGCGCGCCCAGGTCGGCGGCTGACGCATGTATGGAAAGTGGGCTGTAAACCTCTCACGATTGGGACAAGGGCGCACGTGTACAGAGAGTAACGCGAGTTACTTGAAACCGGATCTACATTTTTACTCTGCCCCCAATGTAGGCAAGCTGGTCCTTGCCGTCGCGCGCCATGATGCGAAAGGCCTAGCCCCTGGGCCATCGCTGCGCTCCAGTTGGGGGACCAATGGCGGAATGGAGGATTGGCACAGCCCACAAAAGCAGGCCCTGCTGTGGCGGTGGCTTGTGTTGCACATGGGGAGCGAGTTTGAATACGTGGGCCTCGCAGCGCAGCGGCGGCGGGAAAGCAGTAACGATGCAGTAGGGCTGCCGGCGTCGCCGTCCGAACCGGAGCTGCAGCCCACTCTGGCCGCGGTCCGGATGTCTTGGCATCCGCAGGGTGAGTGAGAACCATCCTTTCGGACCACATTCCGCGTATCTTAGTTGGGATATGCGGGGTGTTGCCGGTAGCTACCTGCTGCATTCGTGGCTTTCAGTGTTTGAAGAGGGCATGCATGCGGAAGTCCTGTCTCTGGGCCAGGACCGCAAAAGCAGCTCCGCTGGACCGGCGCGCGTGTCTTAACTACGCAAGCGAGCTGCGTACATACACAGGCTGCTTGTTCTCGTATCACGGCTCGCATTAACGAAAAGAAACACAGACTGCGCACGGAGGAGACAAGTCGACGGGACCGTACACGGCCGTTGATGGAACCCGCAGCTTTTAATTGCTGGTCAGGAATTTGCCAATCTTTGTGGCATGCCAGGCCGTCAATCATCATACCTCATACACATACATACACATACATGTCGCATCTCAGATCATAAAAACACATGACGTCGTTGCCTACGTTGCGCTTTGGCTTCTGCAGGCCATGCATTGGCCCTGTGCCTCACAGATGTCCACGGACGCAATTGCGTAGCGGCGCTGGACGGCAATGGCCTGGAGGTGCTCTGGCACAGGCGCTTGGGGCTGGAGGCGGATGGCCTGGCCTCGACTGGTGCGACTTGGGGAATGGGACTGGTATCCCTAAGAGATTCCGAGACACGGGCATGGCGCATGCAGCGGCTCCTCGCAAACGCAAAGCAAGTGGGACAATTTGAAAACATCAACGGCTATGGGGCTACCGGATGACCTACCGGGTCACTAAAGCGGCGCCTTTAGACACCAATGTGCCAATCACAGATGCTTCTTTTGGGGGTAAACCGGCATATGACCCTATGACTCTATGCGATTGAATGTGGCGCCCCGTCTGTGCTATATGTCCCCAGGTGGGGTTCTCAGCGCGCCCTCCGTAGCCTGCGCCTCCGCCATGGCATGGGTCCCCAATTCCTCCCTTCTGGCTCTCATCGACACCGAGGGTCATCTGCACTTGCTTGACGCCCGCGGCGCCCAAAGAGGGGCAGTGCTGGTGTGCGGGGTAAGTTGGACTCCTCTCCGCACGAGGCTAAGACAGTCTGCTCCTTGTGCAGGCATGCGGCAATACTGCTGCGGAGTTGTTGATTTATCTTCTGGGCAGTCGCGGTGCCGTGTGAGGCAGGGCTTGATGTTTTCTTCTGGTTCTGCTCAGGAATGATTTACGGCTTGGCCTCTGGATATTCCGCTGGCAGCTGAGTGGCTATTCAGCATAGTAATAGTGAAGCAAGGTAGATTGAGGAAACGCGAGGCCGTATTGGATTGACGCGAGATTGCCGTTTGCCTGTTACGCTTCCCCATTTTGGGCCAGGCGATTATCTACGGTGAGAGCACGTCGCTTCGGCTTGGCCCAATCCTGGGCAAAGCAGCGCCGCTGCCAGCGGGCGCGTCGACGGCCGCAGTAGAGACAATGGCCGCGGGGCGCAGCGCCCGGAGAGACAGATCGGGGTTCGGGGTATGCATCTGCAGCAGCGGCGGAGGCGCTGGAGGCTGTAACGGCGATTCGCATATAAAACCGGGAAGTGGCTGGCAGCCGGGCTTTTCCCTGGCGTTTTCGGACGTGAAGGACCTGGGGACGGGCACGACACCTGACGCCTCAGCGGCTGTGGTGGCGTCCACGGACTCGGCCACGGTCATGATGGCTGTGTGCAACGGCACTGCCGTAGCGCTGTTGCGCGTGCAGTTCCCTAAGGAGCCCGCTACGCCTGTGGTGGATTACAGGCAGGTCTTCGCACGGGATGCCGTCACAGACGGCGGCGGCGCTGCTGCTGACGGCGGTCTAGCTACCGCTGCTGGCAGCCCCGTCGCTCAGGCCAAGCAGGCCGAAGCGGTCAACGACTCCCCTGATCGTGATCTTGTACCGGCGTTGCGACCCAGCGGCCTGCAGGTCCAGGTCGACGGGCTGGAGAACGCCTCAACGGTTGGCAACAGCGCCGTATCAACGCCGTACATGCTCGGCCTGCAGCGCGTCAGCATCGGCTCCTCCACTGCCACGGGTGCCGCGCTGCAAACCAGCAGGTCCACCGTCTCGGAGGCTCCTGCGCCGCCTGCCTGGCCGCTGCGCTGGCGCACCATCCTTACATTACCGCCGCCAGGCGCCGCTGTCGCTGTGACCAGCAGCGCAGCAGCGTACATCGACAGCCATGGGAGCATGGCAGTCATGCACAAAGCTGGCGGCGGCGGCTGTCCGCCGCCCTCACTGTCTGCGTCCTCAGTTACAGCAGCAACCAAGTTGGACCGCGGCGGAGGCGGCGGCACAGCCCCGGCCGGCGGCTGGGGCGCGTTTCCCTCGCCTGCAGCCAGCACGGCGAACCTTCTGGACCTCTACACGCACGAGGCTGGAAGCTTCGCAGCAGGGGACGCTGTGCCGGCTGCGGCTGCTATCGCCGCCGATGGCGGCAGCCTAGCCCGCGGGGATGCGCACTACGGCACGCACATAGGCGCGGGAATGGGCCCTGCTGGTGTGGCTCCGTGGCCCGAGGTGCTTTTGTGCACCAGCCCGGGGGCCCTACAGGCGCTTCGCCAGGGCGACGTGGTGGTTCTACGTGGCAGCATCGCGGAGTCGCTACAGCACTACCCACGTGCACACGTGTATGGCTTCCTGCCGGCGTTTCTGGTAGGACCCCACCGGGTGTGGGAATGTGTTGTCGTGGCGCTGGAAACGTTGTGGTACTGGTTGAAGTAAAGAGGAAGGGGGCTTAATCGGTGGGCATGAGCGCTGCATGTAGCCGGGGCGGGATCTCA